AACCCTAAACCCTAAACCCTTCCGAATATGATGCATGATGAGCTTCTTCTCTCAGCTGCCCAAGGCAAGGGTTGCGTTCACTGGGTCGCATGACATGGGCAAGCAACATCCACATAAACTTCGTGCTGAGATGCCTCGAACATCCTTCAGGACCCTTACGAAACTCCACTGAGATCCCATGAAACCTTCGTAAAGACCATGAAAACCTGTTCAAACCTAAGACAGCCTTAGAGAATCCCTGCCCGACCCCAAACACCCGGTCTCTGCCTCGTGTCCGGCGTTGCCGCGCGCGGCCAGGAGGCCTCCGTGCACCTTGGGGTGGAGCGTCTTCACCTTCAGCAGGCTGGAGGCCGAAGGAGGGAGGTGTGCTGGGGTCCGAACCGAAGCTAGAGCAATGCATCAGGGTAGCTTACAGGGCCCTGTGAAAAACGTCGACTGAAACTCTGGGGAGTTTCAAAGCTACCAAAGGAAAAAGCGTTCGCCTCTTGCAGGCAACTTAAGGTCTAGCAGCCTAGCTCTTCTCAGACATTCTTACTCTCATCTTGAGTGGAGATGGGCGACGAGTCGTCTTCTAAGATGCCATTTAGACAAGAAGGAGCCTGAGTCCTCCATAACCCTCGCAGTCCGTGGGGTGCCGAGCTCCAAGCAGAACGTGTAGAGATATCCATGAACAATGATGGAAGAAGCGTTCAAGTCCTACTGTAATACTCTTTGGCCCTTACCGTAAGACTGATGGTCATATCAACAGAAAGACCCGCGAACCAAGCAGCCAAACAAACCCAAACGCAACAACATCACTGAAAGCCTTACCCCTTATCCTAAACTCTAAAGCCTAAAACGCCCGGAGTAAAGAAACTCCCCAGCAGTCGTGCCCACGGCACACGGCCGTCCAAGATCTCCGGGGACCCCGTGTAGTCGGCGACATCCTGCGCCACAGGGAATGGCGTCCTTGTCATAAGGATCCTACTATTCTGGGTTCCAGTTGCGGGCCCCTCACTGTGAGGATTATGGTACTTGGATGTAGTTGGGGTTTATAGTGTGGGTCCCCTCTTATCAGCATCCCGCTAACTTGGTGTTCCATTTGGGGTCCTTTGTTTTAGTGGGGCTCGCAGATAGGCTGCAAGCTGTGGAGCAAAGACGGACATTTTTGAGGATACAACCTCAAGCACGACGACTGCAAAACACGGCCGGTTCTTGGAGACTGGCGGTCCTTGCTTGGATGGCCTCTGCTTCGCCTTCCTTCTTGTTATGTAAACGAAGGTGCCCCCGTTTTGCTGAGACATGCTGTAACATCCCCACATATAAGCTCGCTGCATCCCACTCAGCTGCAACGGCCATTGGGAAACACAAACGATCACGATGATCACAACCATATTTTAAGAGTCTTAAGCCCTCAAACGACCTGAAACTTTCAGTCAATTCTGCTCACCCTACCCCAAACCCGAGCGCCTGGACAGTGCATCCCAGGTCGCGGAGCTTTGCAGCCGTGCCGCCCGTGGAAAGGATGTGAACGCCTCGGCATTCAACCCCTCGGTAGGGTCAGGATGGTAAATGCTCTGAACATAGTGAGAAGCAGGAGATCATTGCAGCCTCGAGCTCGAGTAGAAATATTTAACATCTCAGAGTAGTGCGAACAGATACTCAAACATCAAGTGCTACACGCAAAAATTCCCCAAACCCCATCCGTGAACCCCTTTAGCCCCCAAAACCCTGAACTTACCGGAGATTCCAAACTCCCATCCACCCCAAACGGCAAAAAAAGCCTCGGAAGCTTTGCATCCTCCGAGCACCCGGCCCTTGGAGGCCAGGAACTTTCCCAAATCCTCCAAGCCAGCCTTCACAGGTCCAACGGGGGGGGAGTGAATGTAGGAGCCTTGAAAATTAGAATAAGGTTTTGGTGTATATTATGCTATAGTTATACTAAGTTACAATAAGGAACCCCCAAAATACTATTGGGAATTATTTAAAACGGTTGAAGAGAAGGAAACAGGGACCGGGGGGGGTTAGAGGATGGTACTCCCACATCAGAGTCGGAGGCGCGTCAGAGCTTGAACAGAGGCTCCTGAAGCCGAACCCTCTTGATCCCAAGTTGAGGGTTTAGGGTTTAGGGTTTAGGGCCAAGCAAACCCACCTTGTCGAAGACGGAGACCAAGGCGGTCTTCACCTCCACCTCGCCCAGAGGGGCTACGGTCAAAGCGAGAAAAAAGGAGCCGTGGTGGAGGTGCTGAAGGCGTCAAGCTCTCAGTCAGTTTTCGCAGACCATGATTAGAATATCAGCGCATCTGCAACGTCGCCTTTCACAAGTCGCCTAAAGCTACAGCTACCTTGTTAGCATTGCAGGCAACAGCTGTTTTTGGGCTTACGCGACACCCCGGAACTCCCAGTATGAGGACCATGCGGCCAAGTTCCAGACTTCAGACGCTGGGAATTGAGGATACAGGGATCAGGATGAACACCCCAAACCCTTTCAAGGTCTCCTGTTTGTGGGCCTACTAGGACCACAAAGGCAGCACGCTGCATCCCGCACTCTTGGGTTCGGCAGCACCTTGCCTTGTCGACGACCGCGGCGCTCACAGAGGTCAGCGTTGCGGGTCCCATGTTTCCACTGCGCGAGAGATGCTTTCCTTCTTTGCCTTTTAAACTATAGCTAGAGCCAAACGGCTGTGTCGAGCTTGCCCATAGAAACCACCAGCTGAGCAGTCACTGTCTTCTGGTTTTCTGGTTGCTTTGCAGGGTGGGCAAATCTCCAGATGTCCGAACGCCAAAACCACCAGAAGCTGAATCGAGAACCTGGACTACAAAGCCAGAAACAGGGCCCTGGCGCGAGAGGCATCCAAGTCCCCACTGCCGAGGCTTTGCTCGTCCTGTGTTGGCGGGTGCACCATCAGCCATGATGTTGGTCTTCTGGAATCTCTCAAGTACACTGGCAACCATAGCAAGCAGTGTGACTGCGCTGCAGGCCACCGCCACCGCCACCACCATCAATCACCACCACCACCACCACCATCACTATATATCACTACCACAAGCGCAATCCCAGCAACGTGAATAGCAACAACACAACAGTTGACGAGGACTGCTGACACGGATGATGCAACTGATCATACAGTGTTGTCTTAAGAACTTAAGCCAAAGCATTTTGGGCGTTGTACCAGGGCGTCCAACCTGTCGGTGTCGTTCGTTGTCCAAGAATCAACTGCACATGCACATCCTGAATCCCTACTTGTGAGTGCTTGTCCAGAGTCCCTGAACCCAGAACCATCAAACAGTTGCGGAACCAAGAAGACATCTTTAGACTGTGGCGCCCGCTGGCCTCGCAACTTTCAGCGATGCGACCTGCACAGGGCCAGGGTGCGGAATCCGGGCGCTTGAAGGGGCCGAGCTATGTATATACGCCTATACAGTCTATACACGTTGCTCGGAACATCGAAAAGTTGCAATCGACTGTGAAACGCCTTAAAGTGCTCGAGGATTATATGTCGGTCATGAGCAGCATGGCTCCAGCGCACATTTCTCTAAGAAGCAGCCAGTGAAGTCAGCACCTACACGGCTCCTTCACGGAATGCGCATTGCTTATCTGTGCCAACAGTAGCGTGGTGAAAAAACCGCTTGAAAAGTAACATCGCAATATGAGCGTAGATGTCGGACAGCATGGCAACTCAGCAACAAACCCAGGACCGTCACGCTGCACCAGCTGAAGCCAGAATCCGAACCCCCACGCCAAAAATCCGTGACATTCTCCGTGCCCGTGGCCAGCCCTAAGCCCTAAGCTTCCCTAAACCTCTTGACTCTAAAACCTGCCCCCCAAACCGTCAACACCTCAGCCGCAACCCCAAACCACTAAACCTATAAACCCACAAATGATCCCCCCAAATAACAAAAAGTTAAATATCGAACTGCTTGTGGGGAACATCAACAGTTTCTCAAAAGGAGACACCAATCATGCCCTGAACCCTCAACCCTAAACCGCCAAACCTGCAAAAAACCTGTATGAAACTGAAAGAAACTCTGCAACCCCAAAACCAAACACCCCAAAGCTTGAGAACCCTTCCGAAACAAGTATTATAAAATACTTAGTATTATACAGTAGATTCGTATATTATAATGCACTATAACCTACATGGTAGGTTATAGTATGGTATCGTATAAGATTATAGTATAGTGCAGTATACTTAGTATACTCTTATTATCGCATCTTACCGTATATTACAATGAAACGGCCTTTGGGCTTCGCACCGCTGCTCCGCTCCTCGTCCGAGAGCCCTGCATGCCACCTGAGATTGATCAGGCCTCTTTGCGTTTGTTTGTTTAGGACAGGATTCGGGGTTTAGGGGTTTAGGGGTTTAGATCTTTCGGGTTTAGGGGTTTAGGGTTTAGGGATCTACACTAGACAGGTTCTTTAAGGAATATACCTGATGAGGGGTTTGGGCGCATGGACTTCTAAGGGTTCAAGGCGTAGGTCTGGAGGCGAGACTGAGGTTGAAAGGTTCAGGTCGCCGGACTGTTTGAGTTAATGTAGGGACCTAAATAAGTACCAGTGCTCTTTTGGGGGGCTCCTTATTATAGTTATAGTATAGTGGGCCCCATAATCCCATACTAATTGCTAAGGCCCCTATACTGGAATTTGGGTGGTCACCGAAACCTGAGCTGGAATAGCTACAGCAAGACGTCTGATCGTCAGCAGAAGCCGAAGGCTTGGAAGTTTCGGCTTCCGGAGGCGGAGAGTCTGAAGCTCTGGTTGATAGACACTGGTTCGGACGTTCTCTGTGCCATCATAGCCGGGCCGAACTCTTGGAAAAGAAGACGTCCGCAGCTTCGAGCTTAAGGGGTTCAGGGGATTGGATCTCGGATGGGATGTTCCAGAGGAACTCGAAGGGCTGCCGGTCAGGTTCCCTGAGACAACCGGGGGTTGGACAACTGCTGGACCGACCAGTTGCGAATGGTTTCAGGGAGTGCCCAATTCTCAAAGCCTGGAGGTTGTCAGTGTGCGAGGCAGCACGATGCTAGTGGTCTTCTTGCGGGACTACGGCAAGCTGGATGTTAGGTTTGCTGAGGGTGAAGCAAGTAGAACCACGCACACACACACACACACACACTAGCTGAACATAACGGATTGGGCGCGGGCTGGAATAGCGACTGGATGCGCGCATTCCCCCAGATGTCGGTGACTTGGAGGAGGATCGCCTCGAAGGTTTTAATCATCTGTGTCCGTCTGTCTGTCGGCATGCATATGTAAGTATGTCAGCAATTAAGTAAGAGAGTAGGTCAGCCAGTCAGTTAGTCAGTATGTAGCTAAGTACGTAAGTACAGCAAGTAAGCAAGCATGCATGCAATGGATGGATGGATGGAGGGATGGAGGGATGAAAGGTTGGAGGGAGGGATGGAGGGAGGGATGGAGGGAAGGAGGATGGAGGGATGTGCGGATGTGTGGACATGTGGACGTGTGTGCGCGTGTGTGCGCGTGTGTGTGCGCGTGTGTGTGCGTGTGTGTGTGTGTGTGTGTGCACATGTGTGAGTATGTAGATAGAGCAGAATCACCGACGACTACTGCTGCAGCGACGACTACGATGGCGAAGACGACTTCGATGACCACGACCACGACGACGATGCTCAACCTCCTGCCCTGGCTAGGACAGGACACTGCACGGCAAGAGCGGAGCCCCGATTGAAGTCCCAAGAGTCAGCCGCAACTCCCAGGTAGAAACCCCAAAACTCCGCCGGCCCCAAATTGTACCCAAGACAGAAAGCTGCTCGCCCCAACAAAAGAAGATACTTGCATCCAGAAACCGGGGCTCTCACAGGCAGCAAAGGCAGCAGGCACAAGATGAGACGCACGGGTAGAAGAAACCGATGAAGATGCCACGTGATACCTGCGGGCCCCAGCCCTGCAACAACCCTCTCAACTCATCCATGTGATCAAACACAGGAAGATAACCCTACTTCGTCCTTCAGCACTGCTAGGACAGAAACCCTCAACCCCACACAACCGATCCTTTCATGGAGACGCTCCCTGAAAAGACAAGAACAACTTTGTCGAAAAAGGACATCGGGAAAGGTCAGGGCCAACCTGGTGAGCCAGTACGAAGCAGAAGAGCCCCGAAGTCCGGACTGTTCCATACTTTCCTGTCGAAGTTGCCCAGAGGTTTTGGGGAGGCCTCCACGAACCCTTTGCATCGGTCGTTCAGACGGACTTGTAAGCCCCCCCCCCAGGCCAAACCAAGCTGCCCAACTTGTCCCTGGGACAAAAGCGAACTACCCCTCAAAACACGAAAAGCCCAACCCCCGAAACCCAGAGGAGCTGAACCCTAAAGCCCTCCGTCCCAACGAAAGCTTCGCTTTTCTTGAGATCGCCAGTATCGTCGTCGGCCGTATCATCGACGGAGTCGTCTGGCGCAGGGCCGTGCTCCTAGAATAAAGCCAACGAGGGTTAGGTCAGGTTCATCAGAATACAGGTTCAAATTTTGGTTTGTTTAGGGCTTGGGGTTTGCGGCTTCAGGGGTTTGGGGTTCAGGTTGTTGAGTCTCTCCAGGTGTCGGGGCCAGCAAATTCAAACGGGAAGGCCATACCAACAAGAAGACCAAGACCAAGACAAGCAAGACGAGGAACTGCAACTTCATCTACAGCAACAGCCACAGCCAAAGCAACAGCAACAGCAGCAGCAACAGCAACAGCAATAACAAGAAATGAAAGAGCATAACAATAACAAGGAGAAGAATAAACACAATGACAAGAACAACAAGAACAAGACGGCACCAGCAACAACTGCAGCCTCGTCAACGCAGCGCAGCCGCGTAGAGCACAGGGCTTTTTATGATATGAAGGGAAGTTGCCAAGAGATCTTAGTGGGATTTGAACAAGGGGCTGGGCTTTAATGAGGTTTAGACGGGTTGTGATGAGTTGTATGCGGGGGTTGATGTTTAATGGGTTCTACGGGATTTCAGAATTTGAGAAAGACTTTAGAAGGGAGTCAAAAGGGCTTGGATACTGGTGGATTTAGAAGGAATGAAGATGCTTCCAAATGCCATTAACACCCATAAGTTGTAACAACCATTGAACACCCTGCTAAACACCATTAAGCCAGTTCCTAAAACCCTTGTAAAACGAGGCACCTGGAGGGAATAAGGCACACGTTTGCAGAGCTTTACACCTCGGATGGATATGTCCAAGAGTAGGTGGTTGTTTTTTTGGGGGGATGGGATCAAAACAACAGACGGGGCTCCGATTTTGTTTCTAGCAGCAGCCCTACCAGTTGCTAGAGAACAAAAACTCTGAAGCCCTGTCTATTGTTTTGATGACCCCTGCACGAAAACCACCCACATTGAACCCCATGTCTACCAAAGGGGCAGCTGCTATGTAAACAATGGTCCGAATCCCAAAGACTCAACAAACACCCTATGGGATCGCTGGAAGCAGTCCCAATTGCTTGTAGCCGATGCTGTTTTGCCTGTACCAACAACGACAACAACAAACACAAGCAAACCCACAACAGCAACAGCTTTTCATATACATATATACATATGTTTATATATATAATATACTCACGGCAGCGCCAGGAACACCAGACTGGCCTCAAAACCCTAAACCCCAAAGCTACGGTCCTCAGGAGCTGTGGGCTCTGCGGCATGCGCCCCGAAGAGGGCGCTCGCGGCCTGCTAGTGGAGGCCGATGCTGTGACATAAGGGGCCTTGATAAGTAGAATGAAGTGTTGGGGTATATTATACTACTTTGAATAAACTAGGGTTTGGGGGTGTATTATAGTTTTACATATGTTGTCTTGTACTATGAATACAAGGGACCCTAATAGTAACCAGGTGCCGGGTCTAATTGTTGTGCCCAGGCATCACTGCATCAATCTGGGAAGGCAGTCTCAGATCCCAGGCCGCCAAGCCTGAGGACTCGTAAATGCAGCATCCATTGAACTCCCAAAGACATGAAACCCAAGACTCAATCCTCTGTCTTGTAATTCTGAACAACAAACCTCACCCCGCAAACACTATGATGTGTGAGCATTCCTGCGCTTTGCAGGCATTGCTAGACCCTAAGCCACAAACCCCATACCCCTAAACCCCAAACCCTAAACTCCAAACCCCAAACCCTAAACCCCAAACCCTAAACCCTAGGAAACAATATTTTGCATTCTGCTCGCCTCCCTCCTCGGGATCAAGGTCTTAGCTCCACAGCTTAGCTTTTTGGATTGGAGGCTTATGTATATATATATATATATATTTACATATATATATATACATAATATACATCCTTTCTAATTATGGTATAGTTTGAAGAAGAGCTATATCGGCTCACTCTGGCCATACGTGGGAGACCTCGAGTGCTGCTGCGAGCTGCCCCAGTGCCGAGGTCAGAAGCGCGCGGCGGTCTGCAGCCTCCGCTTGTACTCTTGGGGGGCCTGGTCATGGATCGGGGCTGAAGGTTTTGCTTCTCGATGTGTTTAGGACTTAGTTTCTGTTCAGCGTCCAGGCTTCCTCCGAAGTCAGACTAAGAACACTCTGAACTTCACCCCTGTGGTACCTTCAACAGCCGCGACAAGGGACCCTCCTCTACAGTCCTGCAGCTACGATCTCATCATGACCGAAAGCCCAAGCGCAATGTGAATGAAGCACCAAAGAGCTTGCTTCTTCAGGCTACTTCTTGCGCTTTTCCGTAAAAGCTGTCAATGTGCCCGGAATCGCTAGTAGTAACTTAGTAGTACTTAATGTTGCAACCATGATCAGGCCTCTCATTACAAACTCTGATCTGTACACGCGAGCAGAAGGCTCACAGCAAGAATACTAACGATGAGAGATGGCAGAGTTGCTCTTACTAGTATCACTGCCAGTCTGGCTGCGAGACGCGACGTTACGAGCACTAGAAGAATAGAAGGGGAAGCCGCCGTGGCAGCAGACGGGGTAGAAGTAGCCGAAGTCTTTCTCCTAGTCGAGGGTGCAATCGTAGTCGCAGTCGCGGTCGCTGCAGTCCCGGTGGCAGTCGTAATGGTAGAAGAAGTAGTAGTACTAGTAGTAGTAGTAGTAGTAGTAGTAGTAGTCGTCGTCGTCGTCGTTGTAGTAGTCGTAGTAGTCGTACGTCGTCGTAGTAGTATACTAGTAGTAGTAGTAGTAGTAGTAGTTGTTGTTGTAGCAGCAGTAGTCGTCGTCGTCGTCGTCGTCGTACGTAGTAGTAGTCGTACGTAGTAGTCGTCGTCGTCGTTGTCGTAGTAGTAGTAGTACTACTACTACTACTACTACTACTACTACTAGTAGCAGTAGCAGTGGTAGTAGTAGTAGTAGTAGTAGTAGTACTAGTAGTAGTACTAGTAGTAGTACTAGTACTAGTACTAGTACT